TATTTATTCACCCAAACTTAGTTGGTGTATCAATGTTATACCCAACAGTTTGCAAGCAGTCATTGATTCAGCAGAGGCAAACCAAAAATTCAAAGAGAGCCAGCAGGATGCTACTTGTTTGTCTCTTGCGAAAAAGGGGATTCCTGGCCCCTCCCAGTAATTCAAACAGGCTTTGGTAACTTCAGATGCGCAGAGAAAGAGAGAGTTCAGGTTTTAAATTCTTCCTCTTTACTTTCCTAGGGTATCAGAACACTGAGCTTAAGAGGAGATGGAACTTATCCTTTAACAATATGCTTTCACTTTGGGAGTTCCGATTTCAATATACTTTTACTCTTCCAGGAATTCAGATAAACACTATGCCTTTATTTTTCACAGGAATTCAGATATAACTATGCTTTTACTGTTCACAGGAATTCAAATTGCACTATTCTTTTACTGTTCTTTCTTTTAATTACTGGCTGAATATAAAGACAGACAGACAACTCTACAAAGGCTTCCATACAAAGTTTCTTTATTGGATCACAAGGCATGCTCAGATATAACTCATGGTTACGTCGAGATTCATCTAATGTCCAATTCTTTGCATAGCTGACTTCATAGTGTAAAAGCATAGTGATCTTTCATCCCATAACGATGGAGCAGAATGGGTGAGACACCAGCACACTGCTGGGGTCCAGGCAAGAGTGAAGGAACCTCACCCAACCCAACCAAGGGTCAATTCAGTGACCAATCAGGATTACAGATGTGACCACATGACATGATCTACATTTCTCAGGATGCATTAACTACATTTACCATGAGGCATTCCCTTAAGGGGACAGCTCCCAGTTCCAACTTAACTATCTCAATTCCCATTACCTATATACTGTCTGGACAGCACAGCTAGGGCTTCAGAGATTTACCAAAAGCTAGGAAGATCAAAGTCTGCTGTACTTCAGGAGGCAGAATGTTCCATAGGCTGCCATGGAAAAGGCACACTTCTGAGCTCCCACAAGATGGCAATATTTATGGGAAGGGACTAGGAATGTGCCTACCCTATTTGACCTGGTAGTACAGGTAGATATCATTAAGGAAAGGTGGCCCTGCAGATAACCTGGCTTTGTGCCGTACATGGTGCTAATGGTAATGACCAGCAGCTTGAATTGCATCTGGAAAGAAAATGGAAGTCAAAACAGGCCACAGAACTAAGGTATTATGTGAACAAACCTAGCCTCCCCCCCCCACCCCCAAATTACGGTGTGTGCTGCCACAGGGGTAGTTATTTTCTGAGTACTGCAAAAACTTAACGACAGCATTGAAAAGAAGGATTTATGTCCAGTTCTCACATTTATGACTATTTTAGGGTCCATGGTCATGTGATCCAGACCTTTGTCAACTGGCATCTGTTTACAGGGTCTTGGGGGATCATATGATCAGTATTTGCAACCATCCCAGCCAGCTTCCGACATGCAAAGTCAATGGGGGAAACCAAATTCCCTTAATAAGCATAGTAAAAAAAAAAGTGTTTAATATTATTATAAAGATCAAATATTTGGGAATTTGTTTTTTAAAAATAATGAATTATTCAAAATTTACCTTTTGAGTTGGAAAAGGATAACAGCAGATATTTCTAGAGGGAAAAAGCTACTGTGGTGCTTAAAAGTTTGTGAACCCTTTATAATTTTCAATATTTGACTTACAGCTGTTCATTTAATGACCAAAGTTACAATGGCCTCGGAAATGGTGCTTTACAGCCAGTAAAGCTACTTGAAAGCCCAATTCTTCAAAGCCAGCAGTGAAGGGAAAATAAATAGCTACCTGGTGGTGTGCGTGTTTAGGACAGTAATTTTTTCAGACTGAATGTGGTTCAGGAATGAAGCGGTCTTCATTAGATTAAGCCCCAGCCTTTCAGCCTAAATGAGCATGTCTGTCTTTTCCATCAATGATTTCACAGGTATTCTAACCAAGCCTGATTTGATTGATGAAGGAACTGAGAACGAGACCGTTGATATTGTCCGGAATCAAAGAGTGCCTCTGAAAAAGGGATACATGATTGTTAAATGTCGTGGGCAGAGTGACCTCACTAATAAACTGAGCTTGGAAGATGCAGTCAAGAAAGAGAGAGAATTTTTTGAAGAGCACAAGTTTTTCAGGTAGGATTTAGAAAATAATTCCTGAGCATGGTTTTGCAAAATGTGCTCCTTTATACATCATAGCTTGTGTGTATCTCTATGAATATGCCTCTATACAAACTAAAGACTGGTGAAGTTTCATGTGTCATGTGCTTTAGCACTTCTAGTTAGTGACTGATGCTTACTCCCCACTTTGTTTCAAATTATCACCAAATTATTTGACCTCATAGTTTAACTACAGAGCATATAATCCCAGACCATCTGAAAGACACTGAGGAACACTGAGATGATACAAATGATAATTTCAATATTACTGAGTTCTTGAATTTTATTCACTCTGATCCTCCCCAGCCGTCTTTTGAAAGAAGGCAGAGCTACCATCCCATTTCTGGCAGAAAGACTTACACAAGAGCTCACTAAACACATTCAGGTAAGGAACTCTCCATTCATTTCAGGTTGAAGATGAAAGATATTCTGTTACATGTGCAATTTCACGCCATGGTTTTGATTGGACTGTGTTGAGATGCATCATCAGAATCCCAATTAGCTCTTTTTGTAGAAAGGATGAAGCATTTGGTGGGCAAATTTGCATCTTACTTAAGCTGCACTGCTAAGACAATACATAATGGCAACATATGCATATTTCTATCCTTAGGCATCTGATTCATAGTGTAAGAGGGATTCCTAGGATTTTGTGTGTGTATTTGTGCGTGTGTGTGTGCATGTGTGTGAATATTGTTATATCACTTGGCAGCTGCTAAAATTGGTAGGTTTCTACTGCAAGATGTCAGATGAATGGTTCTGTCAATATTTAAAATTTCTGAACTTGCAAAAGGATTATAGTTTTACACATTTCCTTTAGCTAATTTTGTTGTTGTTGCAGAAAACACTGCCAACTTTAGAACAGCAAATAGTAACCAGCCTTGAAGAAACTTATCAAAACCTTAAGCAGTATGGTGAAAGTGTTCCTGAATCCTTGGAGGAAAAGAAATATTTTTTTGTAGAAGTAAGATTAATTATATATATGAAGCAAATTGTACCCTTGTTAATCAGTAAGTATTGTTGCTAGGCACTTACTGTTGTGTTATGTGTATAAAATAGCCAAAATACCCAACTGTATCATCAGGAGCTTGTCACAATGTTGGGCAAACTGAAATACTTGCATATTTATTTTCTGTTATTGGTTTGTTCTTGGCTTTGAAGAGTGATATGAATTTCGGGGAGGGAGGGCAATGGGCACATGGAATTTAAGGAATTATTGATGGATGAGTACCAGGAAACAAGACCAAATCACAATTAAAGAACTGCAAAATGGCTACTTATTCTTGTCCATCTCAATTTACTCTTTTTTATTTTCTATATTAGTCTTTTCTGAAAAATTTCATAAACTTTGACATTAATTGTCCATAAAAAACATCTTTGAATCCATTCAAATAATAAAAAGTATCACTTTGTGGACTTATCTTTATACACACAAACATAGAGAGAGTGAGTTTTAAAAACAAAAGTAAAAACTAATACTTATATAGAGTAAGGAACGGAAAAAAGGAAATCAAAGGGTAAGCTAAAAGTGCTGGACACTGCCTTCCTTTGCTGATGGTTAAATCACCATTTTTCTCACTAGAAGCAATAAATTGTTGGTGGGGTGGCTATTCTTCTTCTTCCAGATTTAAGGATGAAGCATGAAATCAATCCATCTGTCCTCTGGACTGTCATTCATGAGTATTGAGCATATTATGGAAACAGAGTTTCCCCCAATCAGCTGATGAGTTGAGTGATGAAGTGATGAAGAAGTATCTGGTCGCATTGTAAGAGGCAGTGATGAATTGTTAACGAAGCCACTTTTTGACTTTTTAGTGAGAAAATCAAATGCAATTTGATTTTGGGATTTGATGATTATAATTATATGGAATTATAAAAGTAATGTAGACATGATTAGTTTTGGGTATATAAATTGGGTATGTTTTTTTATCTACTGTATATCTTATGAAAAAGTTGGAAGCCATTTTTTCTTTCTTTTTTTCCAGGTTATTTTGCTTGCTACCTGATTCTTCTTCTGTCTACTTTCTTTTTTCTTGCTTGTTTCCTTTTATTTGTATTTTTGAGACTTAATGAAATCATAAATATAAAAGATAGTGCTTAAAAATGCAAAAAAACAAAAAACCAACCCCAGCCTCAGCAATTCTCACAAACCACAACCACCAGCAACCACTTAATTGCTTGCCAGCCTTATAGCAAAGCGTCTGGGACTTCCCGAGCTATTCTAATTCCTTCAGGATTGATCTCTCAGGTTTAGTTGGTAATCTTATTTTTAAAATTATGTTACTTTGCATTTTTCCCCCAGAAAATCAACGCTTTTAATGAAGACCTCTTAAAAATTGTACATGGAGAAGAGGATGTAAAACATTTAACCAAGAGAACAATTACAGATATTCGAAAGGCATTTAATGAATGGCAAGATACAATTAATGAAAATAATGAAGGTAAACTCAATTCAATTATGTGTTTTTCTGTTACTGGGTGTAGAAGCTTGAATTCTGGATGTGCTTTTATTGTTACACGTTCAGGTAAGTTTGTTAGTGTTGAGAGGCTCTATATATAACTTTTGTATAAGTTTCATTGAAAATCTATAAGAAGGAAAATTGTCCCAATCCTCTTTCCTTTGCATCTTTTAACACCTTCTATTTTATGTGTTTTTCCCTGCCACATAAATTTAGGCATGTCCTTCTACTGTTTAAACTGTGCCTCAGTAATCAAACAGGTATTGTGAGAAACAACAATACCATTTTAGGCAAGACATTAATTTTTATTATAGAAATTTTCCTCAGCAATGACAGATATAGTTTGTCCCATGTTATCATTTCTTTCTTAGCTTCATTACATGTTTTAATTTCGTTATTTTGATAGTGATACCTATATGTTTATCTTCTACTCAGTCTTAAAATGTTCGCAAGCGGTCATAATTGATATAAATCCAATAGCTACTGAAAACAGAACACAACTTTCAATAATATTTTTTTTACAAAATCCACTGTGATGATGTTTTTGTCTACAGAGACCAAACCATAAATAAATTATACTGTATCCTTGTTGATCCATGGGGAAAAAATTCACAGCTCAAACCTTTATTAGGAACAACCAAAATTATATAAAAGAATACACAGCCTTGAGCTTAAAGAACTGTTAAATGTGTAAGTGGGTAAGGCATGAAAAAGAGACTGATTTTATAGTTATATCTTTAAAAAAAAATAGTGGTATATAGCCAATTTTATCTCAGGATTGAGCCAAACCAGGTCGGATTAGTTTGTTTTGGAATGGGAGACTCCAGGATACACACTAGAAAAAGAGGTCAGAAACAACCTGGAAGGAAAACCATTTCTATACAGATGCCAAGAAAACTATATGGAAGTGTTCGTGTACAAATTAGGAATTGCGCATGAGTCAAGTCACTACCTTTTTTTACCTGTAGTAGGCTATACTGTTCAATAAAGGGAAGATATACTTTCAGACAGGTGAATTGGTTCTTCAGGTACAGAGTATTACTCAACTGGATTAAGTTTCTTCCAAAGCTGAGAAGTTGGAACTATGAAGTGTGTGATTCCTTCTGGGAACTTAAGAAATGAATAAAATAAAATCCAGGAACAATAGTCTACATAAACTTTCTGGCACTAGCTGGGGAACAAGTGCTACAGCACTTAGGACATCAGTTCTTGTTTTGGTATGTTTGACGGCTGAATATTGCAGCCCCGTATGGTTAAATACTGCTCAGAGACAAGCAGTGGACACCCAGCTTCATCATACCATAAGACTAATATCAGGAAATATTAAATTAACACCTTCCAAATGGCTACTGGTACTATCTAACATACCTCATTCACAACTTAGAAGACAATCAGCCTTGAAAAAAGGAGTGGCAGAAATGTGAGGCAATCTGATTTTTACCTATGCACGAAAATTGTGAAGATCAAATAATGAGGGTCAATTCTTGGAAACTGCCATGGAAACAAATTAGGCAGAGAAGACTTTGACATTGAGATAGTATGATGCAAGGGAATGGGCAACTTCTAACCCAAATCTATTTAGTGTTTGATCAAGAACAACCCACCACTGTCTTTAGTCTTCCACAGAAAACTGGACTGTATTCAACCGGATTCAAAAAAAGCATAGCAGGTACCAATATTGGAAATACATATTTGGGGGGTGGCTGTTCTAACTGTGACTGTGGGAATGTCCCACAAATCATGTTGCAATGTATATTGCCCCCTCAGAAAGTTCCATGGATCCCTGCAAAAACTACGTCATCTTGAGGACACTGCTGTACAATAGCTAAATGATCTAATTATCCAGGCATGGGCTTAGCCGCTTTAGTAACTTCTCATACATAGTTTAATTTTATTCATCATTTGAATTATGCATTTTTAAAATACAGCCAGACTTTGGCACTCAACTGCTTCAAAATTCATCGAATTCAGTGTTTGGCACATTTTGAAGCAGAAATCTTGTCCCAGCAGTTGTCTTTCTCCCAGTAGTGAATGCACAACGAAGAACTTGCTGATGTCAGCACCCTGTGACTCACTATTTCTTCCAGCATAAATAGAGGGTCACATGGTAAGTCATGTGGTTTTCTTGGTACCTGTCAGTTTTAGCATTCGTTGCATCTTCCGGGAAGAATTACCAATAGGTACTGAGGCACTACTGTATTTCACTATTGAGGTATTTTATATTTTGATACACATTTTGTATGCTGTTTTGTGAATATTACAAAATATTCACAACAGCATATACATTTTTTGTTGTATACAGCATATACAACAAAATACATTAATGCTGTATTCTGTTAATCATGTCACATGATGTATCATGATGTACTGTGACTTTTTTGCCTTTGTAGAGGGTGTGGCCTATGTGTGATGCATCTGTGGGCCACCAGTTTGACAGGCCTGTGTTACATCATAAGACATAAATAAACAAATAAAAGCAAAAAGGGCCATTCTCTTCTAGTCATAGATGAGGTATGGCCTATAAGAGAAACAAGGAAGAAATTTTAAAATCCTGCTCTGCATATTATGGCCAGAACTATCCAGAACATTAACATCCAGAATCTTCTCCAAGACAATTGCCAAAGATTGCTGGGGTACAGAATGCTGTGGCCAGATTGCTGTCACATGAATCCAGCTATTATAACACCAATTTTTGCCATGCCTGATATTATTGCCAATAACCTTCTAAGCCCAATTGAAAGTACAGGTCATTTATAAAGCCTATAATAATGATACAGCTGTGTTAAATTAGGCACTTCAGAATTATTCTGCTTGTTTCGTCAGATAAACTGTGAGTCATGGGCTAGGATACAGTCTTTTCTGGGGCCGTCCGAAATCTGGAAGGTTTTGGTCCAGAGACTTGCCTAATTCCTTTGCTGCTGATATTCTATAAAGCAACAGAGTCTTCTTTTTCATTAGTATTTGATAATCAGAGATGGAAAAGTTGCTGTGGGATATGCTTTACTTTTTATAATTGGATCTTTTGAGTTGAATTTGTGAGATGTTGAGTATTATTTAGATATGTTTTACGCTGATATTTTAGATTCTAGAATTGTTCTTGTTGAGTGATACAGATGTTTGTAATATAAAGTAAAAAAACTATTTTGCAGTAAATCATTTTAAGCACAGAGGAACTGGGAATATTGAATATATCCGTGGTAGAGAACTTCCAGGGTTTGTCAATTTCAAAACCTTTGAGATCGCTATAAGAAAGCAAATTCAACAACTAGAATGTCCAGCAAATGCAGTGTTGAAGGAAGTTGCAGGTAAGTTCTAATTTTCATGTTCTCATTTTCATGAAGTACTTTTGTGCCTGACTCTTTAAGAATATTTGCCCAGTAGGCAGAATTTTTGGTGTGTATTGTTTAATACAAAAATACAGGGTTTAAATAAGTACCATGGAATATGGTGATGCAAAGTCTTAGAAAAATGTATAATGTTATAAAGGGCTTTTGTGTTCTTGAATTGGCAGTTGTATGGGCTCTGCCTGCTATGTTAGGTCTCCCTGTTGCACTGATGAAAAGACTGTTCCGACAACGCTGGAAGTTTCCACTGAAACTGTACAAAAGCAGAAGTCTTTATTCAGCATAGTTTAAAACTATACCAATCCTACAATAGTGTGTTTAATTCTGTCTTGTGGTATATAGATAGAGAAGGTGACTAAGTCCTGGGCAGTCATCTCTCTTACTTAGCACTGGGGTTGAGATGGGATGGACAATAATTTAAACTGTCCAGTAAGGGGAAACTGACAAATAATCAAAAAAGCCTAGCTGTTTATTGTTTTCTTTATAAAAATTTTATTTGGGTTTTCACAAAACATAATATAAGTAAAGTTTCTTTTTTTGAGAATAGCATGGTCCCGGGTTATCACTTCTCCATACAGACACAAATTAAATTTCATATTCATCTTTTTGTTCTATTCCATACCTTATTACTATTTTAACATTTTATCAATAATTTTTCCCTTCCCTTAGTTTTCTCAATCTTACTTTTAATTATCTCATTCCTTCCTAAATTCAATTATATATCTCTTTTTCTAAGTTTCAATATCTTTCTAGTCATTATATTTATACTTTTGTCTGTCCTGTTTCAATTTCATATTTTCTTTTCTCATTGAACAAAATTTTTCCCTGTAGTTACTAATTGGTGTATGACATCTTTGTATCTTTTAATTTATATCCATTCAACTCTTATTTAAACTTCAATTTATGCCTTTACAATGATAACATTCAATATAACACATAACTTCCAGTCAAATTCTGCTTGGTACATTCTTAAAATATGCACATATATATATATATATATATATATATATATAACAATAATAAGTAAAATACTTATTCTATTCCAATTCAGCTCTATCATTAATGTTAGTTATAATCTTCGACATCTTTAACATTTCTTTTCAATAGGGTATTATCATACTTCTAGGAACATTTATAATGTTTCCATAATTTTTTCATGTTTCTTTCATATTCCTCTTCACTTAAATTTTTATAACACCTTTATAATAATTAAAATGTTCCCCTCCTTTCCTAATTTCATTCTCTCATTCTCTTTATTTCATTTATTTATTAAACATTCCATTACATTACAATGAGTATTTATCTATCATTTTAATCACACTTGTTTCATATTTTCAAAGTTCATTTTTATTTCTAATATAACAATCTTATGTACCCTTGCAGAATCCCCCTTTCAATTAAGTTTTCACCCATTATCTCTGTGTCTTCTAAATCGGCTTATACCTTTAATCCTTGTACGTTTTCCCTGTTTCTCTATGTCCTATTTCTGTCCTTTATAACTTCTTTTCCTTTCCCTCTTCCCCCTCTTCTTCTCCCTCCCCTTTTTGACCCCTTGTCTCTCTAATTCTCTCTTTTGTAATTCTCTCTTCTGTTTTTTCCTAATGTTGTAATTACTTTTCAAACTATTCTTTTTGGGGGTTGTTTTTTCAAATCTTAAATTTTTCACTCTCTTTCCCTCCTTTCTTTTCTTTTCCCCACATAGAAATACTTGATCATTGAAGATGGCTTCTCCTTTGTTCCACCCTTCTTGTTCTACAGGCATTTCTTGTTGTTTCTCATAGTTCAGGATCTCCATTTCTAAAAATTGAACTATGAAGCCAAAAGGATCTCTTCCTTCTTGTGCATTTTCTTTCTGTTTTTTAAATTCCATTCTCAATTCTTCCAAGAGTGATACCATTTTAAAAACGTTTAAATAATCACCTGATTAATTTTAGTCCTTTAGATCCAATAGCCAAAAATCCAAAAATCACCAAGTAATCCAAATAATCCAAAGCTGTTTCTTCTTGCTTCTTTTTCCCACTTTCTCTTCCTTTGGTTCTCTTATCTTGTTACAAAGTTTCAATTGAAATGTATCTTTTAGGAATCTTGTTAAAGTTTCACTGTTAATTCCTTTCACTTCCAGGTGGTCTTCTCCATTTTTCCGGATCCCACCCTTTTGTTTTTTTCCTTTTTTAAAAAGTTTTTGTGAATCCAGAAATCTTTATTATCCCTTTGACATTTTATTTTCAGGTTAAATACCTGTTAATGTCAAAGTGGATTTTTGCCGGTTTCTTGCTCAAATCTCTTAGTTGTCAATATAGGGAAGAAAAGGAAAAAAAAAACAAATCCTTTCCCTTCTCTCTCTCATTCACCGCTTCAAAGTCTTCTTTGGGAACAATGTTGTTCTTTATAATTCAAATTCCAGGGTACCTTATAATGTTGCTTTTTCAGTTCGACCCAATCAGCCAAAACTTTCTCTTCCTCCTGCACATTCTTTTCTGGTCGAGTTCTTCTTTGAGGTGGCCATTTCTGACCACCGCTGCAATCGCCTTCGGGAAAGGGAGTAATGGCCAGCTGGGGAGGAGAGCAGTCTCCCCCCTCTTCACCACCTCTACGGGGTGGCTTAGCCCCGAAACCAGATGGCTCGGGGCACTCCAGCTGCAAGCACAGATCGAAACTGCGCATGATCGCAGATTTCGGTCTGTCACTGAAGAAGCTCAAACCGGAAGCCCTTAAAAAAACAAACACCTAGCTGTTTATTATTATTCTTGCATAGCCAAGTGTCAGCCACACACCCAGTCACCCATTCATACCTCTTTCTCTCTGTGTCTCTGGGATCACCTGATGCCACAGTCCACCATGCAGGCTGGGAAGGGTGCACCTGCGGCAGGTGGTGGCAGGGTGTGGTTGGTGAACTACTCAATGAACTTGTGCAGGCAGATGTAGAACACACTCAGGTGGTAGATGCAGGCCAGGAGGGCAGCCTTGCTCGGGTGCATTAGCTTGGAGGAGGAGGAGGAGGAAGGGCACTGGGCCGGGCGCACGGAGGGACAGAGGGCCCACTCCCACCTGCAGGCAACCACCCATGAAGGAGCACTGAGATACCAAAATGGCCTCAGGAGAGGCCGGCCAAAGCAAGGAGTGTGGGGAAGAGAGGGGTGAGGCCAGCCAGTGGTGGGATCAGCTGGTTCTCTAAACTGCACACAAAATTAACAACCAGTTCGGCTGAACTGGGCCAAACCAGCTAAATCCCATCTCTGACCCTGCAAGATTTTGTACCAGATATGGTCTCTCAATAGCTTAATATGAAGAGTTCTTGGTGATTTCATTGGAACACTGGCACAACTCCATTTTTAACTTAAAATGTAAGATATATAGTTAATAATTTTACATTAAAACTATGTTGTACAAAATTGTTCAGATATTTCCAGGATTCCGCTCTGAAATACACACATGCTTTATAGTATATTGGATGTAAACAGAAACCTGTAGAAAAAACTTTCGTGCCTTATATCCCACACTTCTGATTTTAACATACATATTTAGGTAGATCAAAGGAGGTGTAAAGGATTTAATCTCAATATCCAAGTGCTGAATGTCCAGATTGGGATCTGCCCAGGGATAGGATTCAAATTTCTTAACCTGTTATGTGGGCGTGGCCTAATTTGTGGGTGTGGCTTGGTGGTCATGTAACTGACTGGGCGTGGCTTGTATATAAACATTGTAAATATTTATGTAAATATTGAATTTTTTTACTAAAAAAAGAACAACTTTTACCCAAAATCAGGCAAAGCAGGCAGGCAGATTGAGTTGCTTGAAGAATCACAGATTCACTCACAGATCTACTTTTCTGCAATCTGTTGCCTGAGTCTGCACTGAAAAATAGAAGCTTCAGTCCTAAGGAAGGTTCAACTCTGCTCTCAGGCCATTTCTCCCCCCCCCCCCGAATACCACCCCTGACTGGGCCTCAGGGAAGCCTCTTGGGTGAAGGCAAAGCAGTGCAACAGCAATTTAGATTAGCTAGAAAGCAAGAAATCTGACAGCTTCCTGCTTTCTAGCTAATCTAAATGGCGGCACAGCTGATAGTCAAAATAGCTGATCGCCGGGCGGGAAAAGAAAAACAACTTACCAAAATTAGATGAAGGCACAATGCAGGCAAGCTGGATGGTGCGTATGCGAGATAAGGAGTGGTGGGGCAGGGCAAGCGGGGTGGGACAGGGCCAGCCAGTGGCGCAATTTTCCAGTTCTCCAAACTGCGCAGAATCGTAACAACCGGTCCTGTAGAATTGGTCCAAACAGGTAGAATCCCACCCCTGGATCTGCCTAGAATTTTACTTGCTCCTGTCATTAAATTGCTCCCTCTATTGTTATTGCTCCCTCTTTTTTCTAGAACTTGTGCGGAATGCATTTTTGAAACTTGCTATCCAACACTTCAGTAGTTTCTATGCTCTCTGCAGATCTGCTCAGGTAATTATTAGCCATACCTGCAATGAATTTCCAAAAGCACAGCCATGTGGTTTAAAGTGAAAACAATAAAGCATTATAATAAACAAATTCATTATTTTGGAAGATTTTATGGATCACTGTTCACTTCAGATGTATATGTGCATGTTTGACTAAGAATAAATCTATATTTATGTCCTAGCACAGTTAATTGCATTGGTGACATGATGGATAGTGTGACTTGAACTGGTTCACCATTTTGAGTTATCTGCTCTCCAATCAGACTTACTTTCTGTTTTGAAGGCAGAGCAGAACTACAGTCTAGATTCCACTGTGATCTGTGGGGAACCTCCTTCCGCCAATCTGTATTTCTACTAAACTCAGATTGTGCTCTAACTCCGTACACTTTAAATAAGCCATCAAGGATAGGATTGATATTCTTGTAATTCTCAAACCTCCTGAAAAGCATTGTGCTGGGGAAATTTAACATATTTAAGTAAAAGTTGGGGTTGGAGAAACACGTATAAATTCTGGATGACTAATAATGATCCACAAAAACCTATAATAAAATATCTTTAAGTCAAGCAAAAAGAAGAAGAAAAACCATAATACAATACCTAAGGAACCGTATAATTGTTTCATCCCCACAAATATGGCACACTGTTTTTTGTTATGCAGGGCAAAATTGAGGAATTAAAGAGCACACAAGAAGAGAAAGCAGAAAATATGATACGCACTCAATTTGAACTGGAAAATATAGTATACTGCCAGGACACTATTTATCGTGAAGATTTTGGAACTGTAAGAGCGAAAAAAATCTCTTCTAATGAAAATGATTCTGATGAAAATGATTCTGATGAAAATGATTCTGCAAAAGAGTGCTCAGTGGAGGAAATGCTTTACCATGTGGCTGCCTACTTTAAAGTAAGTTCAATAGTTTGTGAGTTATTTATCTCTATTTTTAAATCCCTTTTGTGTGTTTCATTTATTTAGCCATTAATAGACGTAATTTAGTAGTTTTTAAAACATATTGACTTCCCTGAGGATATATCTTTGGGTGTCAAACATTCAGTACTTACAATTAAATATTTCACTGAAGTAACAAGTATCTTTTTACTTTTATTAAGATATCCTTCTTTTACAGGTTTAAATGAATGAAACCGCAAAGGTTTCATAAAAGTAATTAGCGTGCAGTGTTTGCATGATGAAATCATTAGCACAGGTCTAAGTAGGGCTAGTAAATATCAGCTTAACAGGTCCATATGAATCATATGACAGCCTGCAGATGTAGAAATATGTTGGCCTTTGCACAGAAACACATGTATACTGTAATGACCTGGGGCTGGGCACAAAAGCAACACAGCTGGAGTGTAGGTTTAACTTCCTTTTATTGTTCCAATTTTTCTCCCCAAACTTCCCACAGTTCAGTGTAAGTCCAAGATCAATGCTCCAAACACGCACACATTAGTTCCTGGCTGCTGTGAGTCCAGAGAAGCAGCCAGTTTCTGAGAACAAACACAGTTCAGGAAACATGGTTCCAGGGAGGCCTCTCGTCGCATGGAGGGGTTGCTGGAGCTGCACCACAACACAAAGAAGAGCTGCGTCACTGAGTACTTGCCCACAGCAAGGCAAGTTGAACCCAGGCAAAGCAAGGCTAAGCACAGTAAGAGAAGGTGACAGGATGTCAGTGACTTGCAAGCAGGGCTGAAAAAAAGGCAACACTTGTTCCCAACAAGTGCCCCTCCCCACGGCATCTTTAAATCTTATTCCCCAGGTGAGCCTTGTGGTGAGGGGTCGGTGCCCTCTCCCCCCCCCAGCCATTGGTTTACCCTGCGCTGATCCTGCCTTTTCTCCACCCTCCATGCTTGAGGATGGGGCAGGAGAGGCAATTGCTCCTCTCTGCAGCTACCTACTCTTTCCATCCTCCTCCTTCCCTCAGTTGTCCTGCACCCTCTCTCCATCTCTGGCCACATCTCCAAGGCCAAAGGGACTGGGACTGTCGTGTCCTGCTCCTCTGAGGCAACAGAGGCTGCACCATCCTCCTCTGCCAGCCCTGGCTCTGTTTCCTCCTCCTCAGACCCAGGCTCCGACAGGGCCATGACATATACATATTGACATAGTGTAGCATTAACCAAGAACTGCTTTGCTTGGGGCCTCCTGATATGGGTGGAATGCTGCAAAGACACAAGATTTCAGCTTTGAGGTTCTCTTCAGGTTAAATTAAATTTTATGCCATAATTTTTCAAGATACTAAAATGCAGAATGTATATGTGAAGAGTAGAATTATTTAGTAATTATTTTATTAAATAATTCTTCCCCTCTACTCAGTTGAGATTCTACTTTGAAGGCTATGTCAGTGCTGGATACCAGAGTTCAAAAAAAGACCATGATAAATTAAAGCAAGGTCAGAAGGATCTATTGATACATTGAGGTGTCTGAAAACAGAACTCTGCAAGGAATATCAAATGATATTTGAGTATGTTTAGCCAACAGAAAAGAATGAAGGAAAATGAAATAATCTTTAAGAGTTCATTTGAAGAGAAAGTCTACAGCAGGAGTGGGCAAACTACAGCCCGCAGGCCACATCCGGCCCGTTGGTCATTTTAATACGGCCTGCCTCTGGAAAAAAAAATATTCCCCTCTGAAAAAAAAATCGGGGCTGGCCAAAAGAGACTCTGCGCCACGCACTAAAAAATCACACACACAACACAGAGCTGGGCAGCCGCTTCCCTGGTGGCGGGACCAAGGCCGCCACCTGGGAAACGCCCACTGCTTTCCCTCACCAGGGCCAGGCGGTGGCGTGTTGCCCTGCACCGTGTGGCCCCCGCCTGGCAGCGCGCTTCTCGGCTGGTCTCCTCCTTGGCCATACAGAACAAACTGGCAGAGAAGGAGGAGACCAGCTGGCTGCTTGGGGGAAGCTTTCTGCGCGGAAAGAGGCAGCTACTAATCTCCAGCTTTGCTCCGCTTCTCCAATGGTCCGGCACCACCCTGTTCTATGCGCCGGCTGCTTGGACTTGCTGGGCCTGACACATAGAACAGAGCATGCTGCAGGCATCTCGCGACAAGCCCCAGGACATGTGGTCACCTGCTGGCTGGCTGGCCAGGCCGGGCTGGAAGAGGCACGTTCTCCAGAAGGAAGAAAGCGTGCTCCAGGAGGGCGGGTGCCGGGCAGGTTGGCGGATGTTCCGGGACCACTTAAAGGTCAACTTTAAGAGTGCCCCCATGGAAGAAGCCGAGCAAACGTAGTGGCGGCAGGGGTGACGGGGCATGTGTGTCCCTCCACAAGGAATATGAAGGGAGGCAGACACCGCACCTCTCAGGAAAAAAGTAGGTGCCAAAGCCCTGGCTGTCACCTGGGAGGGGACCGTGGAGGGACCCATCACATGCCCTTGTTGCCTCCGCCACCTCTACTTTTGTTCTCGTTCTTTGCTTCTTCCATGGGGGTGCTCATAAAGTCAATCTTTAAGAGCTGGAAGACGTTTTGTTAGATCGCCACCAACTCATCATTGGGAGAGTTGTAGACCCTGAATACACGAGAAGTCTTGGGCAAAGTTCTCTGACTTTTAAAACGCATCCGTGTGGTGTTTGCCTCCCTTCATGCTCCTTGTGCATGCCGGGAGCACCTAACTGGAGCAAAAGAGAACGAAGTTGACTGCTATGAAATGAGCACCTTGGCTTCCCCTCTTGCTCCTCACAGTTGCCCTGAGCTGGTGCGGTTCTTTACTTGGGCAGCCAGACGCCCGCAGCAGCGCCCCCAGCAGCAACAGGCAGTTCTGCCCGGGCTCCACTCAGGTGTCCGGCTGGGGCTGTCAGGAGTTGCTACCGCCAGCGCAGCTCCGCACGGCTCCAGTCCCGCGTTGCCTTGGGAAGGGAAAGGAAAAACCAGGAGCCACTGAGCCTGAGCTTCCGGTGCCGCTGCTGCCGTTGCAAAGCACCGCCGCGGCTCTTCCTTTTTGCCTTTCCCTTCCCGAGGCAACGCGGGACTGGGACTGTGCCGGCGGTAGCAACTCCTGACTCGGGGCCTCCGAGGGGAGGGGAAGGAGAAGAAGGTGGGGAGGGGGGAGCGATTTCCCAAAACTCTTGTGCTGACCCGGCCCGTCTGTCAAATTTTAAAAGTCAATGAGGCCCCCGAGCCAAAAAGTTTGCCCACCCCGGTCTACAGTCTTTTTACATCTATGATATTGTGAGGACAATTCAAATTAGTTTATTGGCACCAATTTGCTGTGTTCATCCACTTCATGAAGGTCCATGTAAACAGAATTGCAGCTTCTGTAAAAATGGTTACTTATAGGATTTATAATTTTTTTGTGGAGTCGACTATGGGACAGTACAGGTAGTCCTTGACTTATGACCACAACTGTGACAATTTATGTTGTTAAGTGAGGGTGTTGTTAAGTGACTCACACCCAGTTTTATGATCTTTTTTGTCATGTTTGTTAAGCAAATCATTGCAGTTAAGTGATTCATGCAGTCATTGAGTGAATCCAGCTTTCCCTATTGACTTTGCTTGCCAAACATCACAAATGGTGATTAAATGACCCTAGGACATTAGAGTTGTTGTAAATACAAGCTGATTGCCAAGCACCCAAATTTTGATCACATGACTGGGGATGCTGGGTTGGTGGTGTGAGGATTTTTTTTGAGTGCTCTTGTAACGTTGAATGGTCACTAAACAAATGGCTGTAAATTGAGGACTGCCTGTATCTTCTGGCAGGTGTGTGTGGTGGGGATAGTAGGGATCTCCCAACAGAAACCGCTTGATTTTCATTTTGTGATGGGGTACAGATTCACAGGAGACAAGGCTTTGATGTAAACCTTAACATCCTGGTAGGGAGAGATTATGGAATATCATATGTCCCCAGCCATTTATATTACCCTGGTATAATTTTTCCCCCTTAACTTTGCTTTCAGAGTGTAAAAGTCCGGCTTGGTACTCAGATTCCTTTGATCATACAGTTATACATGTTCAAGGATTTTGCTGAGAGGTTACAGAAAGCAATGTTGCAGCTTTTGCAAAACGGAGATCAGTTGGAAGATCTCTTTCATGAGGAAGAGGATATTGTCAACAGAAGGAATTATTTTAAAGAAAGAATTGAACGACTTCATAAAGCTCAAAAACTTTTGAAAAAGTTCTAATATTTGTATATAAATATTTCTAAATAAAAAGTTCTGGTAGCAGCTCTGTTTCGGTTAGATGGGTGTATTAAGGGTATTTGTAACTTATGTTTAACATTTGTAATATTATTCAGTGATGTTGCTGAGCTTCAATAGTGCATTTAGAACCACAATTGGCAAAGAAAACTGAAGATAATTGGAATTTGTATTTGCCTATATTACATTCACATTATAAATCACTGTTAGTTACTATGGACCTTTCCATGCTATTGAGCCAATATGCTATCTGTCCATGTGCTACAACTATATTAGCATAATGTCTGCTGTCCCCAGTGCATTATGTTCAAAACAGCAGAAATAACCTTCTTCCCCCAGTTCCAAGGTTGTAAGAGGAATAAATCTATCTTCAGCACACTTCCATCATTTTTACACTCCTTTTTGTGTGTAGTCTATATACATTGTATTGTAACCCAAGCTGAAGAAAGGTTAAAAGATAGAAAGAGAACCAAATCATAAACTATTTAGGGTTTCTCTTCCTTTTTCACTGTATACGCAACAAATATTGATAAGCTCCTTCATGTAAATGAGAGGTGAGGTGGGATGGGGAAAGGTATTGGTTCTATCATTCAACATTGGAACAGCCTCCCACTTCAAAATCAAAGGGCCCTCATCTTTTTAGCATTCCTGAAGGCCGTGAAGATCTGGCTCTTCCCCTAGCATTGAGTTAAGGAGGTGGTTCAGCAAGGAGGTTGATAGCTGGTTGATATGCTGTCTAGTAAAAAAAGGTTTGTTTCATTTTATTCTGCTTTAATGTGAGCCACCTAGGATCACTATGTAAGGCAGTTGGCCATACAAGTAGTTTAAATAAATAAACAACCCAGCCATTTAAATTGTTATGCTAGTTAACCTCAATATCATTTCACATTTATCAAGTTCTGGAAAATGGATTATTTCATGAGCCACTGTGTTCTACTATTTTAGGACAGAGTAGCAGAAGGGCAACAGGTAATGCTGACCTGAGACTGAAGAGAAGTTGGTGTGTCTATTACCTGAAAGGGCAGTTAGTATCTCTGTGGTACAATCTGCCACTGCTCATCTCTGCATAATGACTTGTGAACCATAACATGTTATGCACCCTGGGAGAAAATGCTATGTTAACACTGGAATAGCTAAGAATGTCTTAACACTGACTCACTCATGGTGTTGGGGCTAATTGAAACCAGTATCATAAGGAGAAAACACACTGCTGAGGCATGCATTTATCATGGTAGGACCACTGGAGAAGGGCCATAAGTTTTTATTTCTTCATAGTAGATACACCCACATGGTTGTGTTATCTGTCACAATGCATATTCTTATTTCTAAATGGGAAGTATGGTACATTATTACATTTTCTTAATCTTCAGGATCTAATTTTTTTTAGCATATAGCCTGGGAAGTAAATATATAGGCTAAATGTCAATGGAGACTCAATTATCCAGGGCAAAAGTGTTTTAAAAAGTTAAATCAAAGTACTATACCTGTATATCAGTATAACTAATTTAATCTTTTAAAATGTAGGCTAAGCAGATCAACAGGGTTCAGGTGAAATAGAATACTGCAGTTCTCTACTTGCTTCTCTGAGGAGTCCTATTGATTTCAGTGGATCCTATCAGTACTCACGTGTAGGAGTTTAAGTTATATTTGATTAGCAGATCAGCAACAATATAATTACATTTCTATTTACTAAATTTTATTAAGTTTCATTAGAAGATCAAAATATAGAAGGAACAAACATTAGAAAAAGAAAAGTAAGAAGAGATCAAAGAAATGACTTCCAACTTTTTTTCTGTGCAATACTGTAGATTGCCAAAATAATAAAAAATCTCAATGTTTTCAGTGCCTTCTTGAGGTTGCTTGTATTGTATGTCACCCTAGCCCTTAGTACCACTTTGCACCTCTGATATCTCCTTAGTGCAAAAATTTACTATAAGGAACATGTAAACTTCATTACTGTCTTCAGATTGGTAATGAAAATTCATACAGGATAAAACATTAAGCAGAATTCAGTAACAAAAATCACAGATTGACATTACATCTGAGAAATGTGCATAGAAACATAATATGAATATTCCAGAGCAATCTTTGTAATTTGAATTCAGTTATTCTAATGAACATTCCAGTAAGATCTGCAACATACAGTATTTCCACCAAAAATATTACCTGAAATTAAACAATTTATTGCATGAAATGTGTTTTTGCAGTAAGAAATAAAAACCTGTACATTCATCTTTTAAGGTTACATTTAGGAGAACAAAAGTAGAATACACTATGTTGAAATTGTGGAGACTTTGTAATATGCTTGGCAATCCTGAACATTGTGCAAATTAGTGCATGTGGTCTCAACCTGTGGTCTGCGAACCCCTGGGGGGCATGATGTCATCACAGGAGGTCCAAAGGCTTGAGAAAAATGTTATGATTTAAATCTTGGGGGTCCATGGTGAAAAGGTTGAGAACCATTTGTTGTATATAGTTTATCATTAACATAGTAAAATACAGCCAGGTAGTCAATTTTAGCCAATAAAGCAGAATTAAATAATTAATGGTATAATGGGAATGGCTTTGCTTTTATGCATGTGTAACTGTCATGTAACTTTGTAACCAGCCAGCAATTCTTTTTGTTTCCTGTAGTAAATTGTATAAAAGTAGCTCTGCCCGACTTCTGGTGTGTTCGTTGGGTGTGAAACCTAGAGGTTTCTCCCTCTTCTGTTTTCAATATAGAAATAAAGTTTTGTCTTTTCTCAATCTTGTGTGGACACTGACTTTTTCACAACGGATTCGCCTAATTACCCAGGCTTTTGGCCAACTGGGAATATCCACAATTTTCCTTCAAATCTCCCAGCTGAAAGTGGGGAATTGGATAGTAGGAAATACATGTTATATGTATCAACCCATCAAGCAAAGAACACAATTAAAAGAGAAAAAGAATTGCAAATTCTTGTGGCCAGTATGAATTTGTGGACTTGACAGGGCTTGTAAATTGAAGCTGCACAGTGGCTAAAAGCACTGCAGCTGCCTTGTAATTAGCCTTAACTAAGCCATTTCCTCTCAACCATCCCACCCTATCCAAATCTGCAACCTGAGAATAATAACACTGACTAAGGAAATGGCAACCAGGGAATTTTAAGTGGCAACCAGGGAGAAGAATTTTCTTTAATGAAGCTGTAGAGTCACAGAACATCCTCACTCGGTAATTAAGATGTTTTTATCTTTCCAAGGCAGAAGGTCAGAACATTTATTGAAGGAATAAAGGATGCTATCTTTATTGTGAATTCTGGTTTGATATAATTTTTACCCCATTTAACTACAATATCAATTTTTAAAACCTTTGTTTATGTGAGTATCAAGTATAAATCATACTCAGGTTTTTTTAAACAATAGAATAGCAAGCGGTTTCAAATATTCATTCATTCTATTCATTCATTCGTTTTGTATAGCCATCAATTTCAGCCAATGACTCTGGATGGCTTAAAATTATTTTAATTGTTGTAATTATAATGAAGATGAAGATAGACAAAGGATAGATGATACTGTTTCCCTGAAAATAAGACCTACCAAAGCATATTTTATACATGAACCTAATATAAGCCCTACCCCCCCCCCCCAAAATAACCCCTACTTAAGAGCTGTGCAGCTGGCTGGCTGCCTTTTCCTTCTGGTCGCTCATGGTGCCCTGCCCATGAGACAAGGTGGGTAGGATGAAGCTGCCCCATACCTTACGCACTGGTTTACTTCAGAGCACCCATGCCCTGACACCTGCCTCACGTACTGGCAGCACCAGTAGACATGTGCAGCAGGAGTCCACATGGCTCCCAGCCCACTCCTGCTTGCTCATGGCTGCAATGGAGTAGGAGGTTGAGCAGTACGTTAGTGCTGTGGCCGTGAGACTGATGACAGGGCATGGATGGCCTGGCTGCGGGGGCCCTGAGGTAAGGTGGTGCAGGGCATGTAGGGCAGCTCCGCCCCCCTGCCTCGCAGTGGCAGCACTGGCACATGCACCTCCTGCCACACCGCAAAAAAACAGAAGTAGGCCTACCATATATGGAAAAAAACCAGACACCCCCTGAAATAAGCCCTCATGCTTATTTTGGGACCCAAAAGAAAATAAGAACTGGTCTTATTTTCAGGGAAACATGGATAGATAGGTAGGTAGGTAGGTAGGTAGATAGATAGACTGATTGATTGTAGGTGGGTTTACTCAATGTTCTTAGCTATGATTTATTGAAGCATGACTTGCTGAGTAAACCACTTAGGTAAGTTCACATAACTTACTAAACACTTTGTCATTGTCTGGAGGCCATTCCTGGACAAAAAACCCTGTTTGCAGTCACCTATGCCTAGTCACCTCCCATCTTGACTAATGCAAGGCACTCTACATGAATCAGACAGACAGACAGACGATAGATAGGATAGGTGATAGACTAAAATTACTAAAAACATTTTAAAACAAAAAAATAGTAAAAACATTCAGATTAAATATACAGTACAAAGGAGCAAGATCAGCCATGAAACGGGAGCTTTAACACATTCAGCACTTCAAGCATGAAAACAGAGTCAGGTTTTTAAAGACCTAATGAAAAGCTAACAGGATCGGGGCCATTGTAATCTCCCAAGGGAGGATGTTGCATAGAGCAGGAGCTACTGAGGAAAAAGCTTATCTTCTGATCTCTGCCAGCTGACACTTTTTGGCTGGTGGGATCTGCAGCATGTCCACTCTGCTCAATCTGGTTGAACAGCTAGAGATTCTTGGACAAAGGCAATCCCTCCAGTATAAGAATAGCTAGAAATAAGAGTTTGTGTAGGGCTTTGAACCCTCTAGAAGTTTGAACAGCAACATCCCATTATTCATCTCAGGCAACATCACTAGTTGCCTTTCTGATCAGGAAGGGTTTCACAAGAGTTGAAATCCACAAAAGCCTATTGAAATATTGTATGTGTACGTGCATTTGGTATGTAAGTATATCAAATTTTCAGTAATTTTAATTTAGGATTTGTTTTTTGTTTAAAAACATTGTTAAGTACTATGTTGAAACATGTTACTTGAACTGAAGAAAGGACATCACTTTTATCCAGGCAAAAAGCTGGGACTGAGAGCACTTAGATTTGGTACTGCCAGCAATTGCTGTATTTGCAGATGAGAGCTCTTCTAGACACATTGTCTGGAGTCTCCCCTCCTATTCCCATGTCTGGGAAAGCATGATTGACACAGGAAATATGGGAGGCAAGACCATCCCTATCCCTGGATCTTTATGCTGGAGACAGTGACAGTCATCACTGTCAGCAAGTCATCGTTGATGTTGGAACAGAAGTGACAAATGTGGGATGAGGCATATTTTTGCCCCTCTTCTTAATTTCATTTAAAATGCACAATTTTTCTGCTGAAATTTTTATGCATATATTTTGTTTATTCGTCTTTATTCACTCTCCCTGCCCTATTTCTCACTCATTTCAGGGAATATCTGCACTATATCTGATAAGAAAGAAGGAAGGAAGGAAGGAAGGAAGGAAGGAAGGAAGGAAGGAAGGAAGGAAGGAAGGAAGGAAGGAAGGAAGGAAGGA